TCTTCTGGGCTTGCTTCAACACCTCCTCATCCTTCTGGTGCTGGAGTCTCCCCACCTGGACATGGTACTCCAGCTGGAGCCTCATCAGGGCAGAATATAGGGTAACAGTCACCTCCCTTGAGTGTGACCCAATACTATGCTTTCTTGTTTTGGTAAATAGGAATAGCTCAGAAAGCTAGAAGTTTGCCCTGAGCCTTTGCCTCACTTATGCAACATAATTCTATCTAAAGACAAAATAAACAGGGTATGGTAAATAGTTTTTGAGTGGATGTGCTCTGAAGATTATCCTAGTTTTACATGCAGAGAGAGAGAGTGAGAGTGAGTGAGTTCTCCATGTTGGAGGTTAGAGAGCTGGGTGGTGTTACACAAACGTGCATGAAAGCCAGGAATCTGTTCTGGCCTGCATAACATGAAGAACTTCATAAATGTGGGATGGTTAAAATGTTCTGGATGCTGTATTGCACAAAGCAAATGCATAAACAAGAACATTAGAAAATATTTTGGGATTAGAAGATTAAGAGTAATTGGCAAAGGCAGACTGGATGGCTCAGGAGATTGGTAAGGGATCTTGAGCCTTTCACCTCCTCATTAACCAAAGAAGTAAGCCAGGTAATCAGAAAAGATGATTTGTTATCATTTGCTGTTCCAGTGCAGACGGTTGCTCTAGTTTCTAATCATTTGCAGCAGATACCAGGGGTCAGAGGCAGCTTTTCCTGTGCAAGTAAGTCTTATGGTTGAATCTCCTGTGTGGATATAAGCTGCTGCTTTCCTAGTTTCTCCTGGTGATATTTTCTTCGTGAAGCATGTTTACAGGAGCTGACCAGTGTTGTCTTGGTATTTTTTATTTTATTTTCTGTAAACAGAGAAATATTTTTAAACTCCCTTGACGTAGTAAAATTCAGGACTGAACTTCAAAAAGGAGGTGGGAGGAAAAAGAGGGTAGCCTTTGGATCAAGGTCAGATCAAATATGAAGCAACATTTTTAAAAAAGACAAAAGTGAAAATACTTTTCCATGCCCAAAGCCATCAATTCCATGAAATCATTGTTTTTGGTCTGTATAATTAAGGTAATACAGACATATCTGTTGGAAACATATAGTGCAATTATACTGTTGTTGAAGTACTTGCCAACATGTTGTAGAAAATATGTTTTGAAATATTGTCAATTATTGTGTTATCTTTTCTTTCTGGCTTTTTTTAGAAATATGCGTGGTGCGTGAGGAGATAGCTTAATTGTATGAACACACAAGCTTCAATCCTTGCAGTAAATCTAATCTCAAACTTCTGGAATTTTATAGTTTTCCACATTAATAGATGAAATGAACAGTTAGGACTTTTGAGTTTCAGGGAGTGCTTTTGTGAAATATATTTCAGTTTAATTCCCAACTGGGACATGACCTTGAAGAGCAATTTTGGAAGAATATCAGTGCAGCCATCTCAAATGCAGTAATGGAAAACCTATCTTAAATAGCCCCTTTTGTCTGTGTGACATAATAATGCCTACTGTATTCCCATAATTGGGGTGCTACAGGGTAAATGATAATCTCAAGATCTCACAAGAAAGTGACAGTGAAGGAAAGAACTAACCAGGCCTCCCCTGCCCTTATAGATACGTTGTGTATTAGATTCCCTCTAAAATCCAAATTATGACTCTTCTGTGTTTACTGAAGAAACTGTTGACTTGGAGGTGGTCTTACATTTCCAGCGCAAGTTCTACCTGCGTTTGTGACTCTTAAAACTATGTGATTGGGATTGCAGAGTTTTGGTATTGCTTTTGTTTGGTTTCTTCAGCTTTATTTTGGGGAGAAGTGTCCAGTCAAAAAAACAGAATTGTGAGGGCAAAGCGGGTGACGAGGTTTTGCTGGAATCAGAATAAAATATGGGAGTAAATACTAGGTGTAATCACTTTCGATATCACATACAAATGTGAATATTGATTTATAAAGTAAGCATACATATTTCATTTCCCCCTTTCTCTTTTTCTTTCTTTCATTTTTCCTCTTTCTGGGTGAGACCAGAGGAAGCAGGAAATTAAGGATAGCTCCATACACACTGAAGGAGTTTGGTGCCTGTAATCACATAACTGAAAAGTTTGAAAGCCAAGCCAAGACTTGAGCAGAATGCATGAATCCACAGTTTGGCAGAAGTGTAGGCTTCATCCAGATTTGGCTGGCTAAAAGCTGAAACAGCTTCAGTTCATACCATCGCTATCAAGTGCTTCTTCCAAGTCGTTATGTGGGAGACAGTTTCTTTTCATCTTTTTACCTGATGACCCCCCAGGAAAGCTTTAAGTAGGTTTTGTTATTCATGAAAAATGTATTTTGAGTGTAATAACATGAATGACCCAGTGCTGCCTTTCACGTACATACTCTTCTCCTAGGACACATTATTTTGAATTGTGGCAGAGTAGTCACAGAAATGCCAGCCCAATGACTGGTAATCAGTTACATTCTACTGCTGTGAAAAATGTATTGTTCCCCTCTGCCATTGCAGTGGCTAAACCATAGTAGTATGTGAGTACTTTGTTCAGTTTTATCCTCTTCTGGTGAAGAGAAGGACGTATTAGCAAAGGACACAAATCTCCTGTGTTGGCCACTAAGCAGGATTATCGGAAGCTACAAGAATACCATGATTTACAGTCCATTGTACAAAATGCTGCACTGATAATTATTTTTCTAGCATTCATAAATAACAGTAATTAGCAATGAGCAGCCGCAGGGATTATTGTCACTCCCGATTTCCAGTTAATGTCTACTGAGTGTCTGTAAAATACATTTGTTATCTGTAGGCTCTGTGAATGGACAACTAAGAGTAATGAACGTATTTACTTATTAGAACCACTTAAGGTGAAGCATTTTAGCCAGTTTTCTATGTGTGCATCAAACATATGTATAACTAATTAAATGAGCAAAAACAGATCACCTTGCAACTAAAACAGTCACACAGAGAACTGCTGTTATTTTCTGTTTGCCATGCATTCTTTAAGTTGTCTTTCAGCAACACTGAGACTTTGAAACAGTGCAGTGGATAGAGACCTCAAGTGCCAGAGTAGTATGGAGCAAGCCCAAATTCCACTGTTGTCAGTGGTTCACACTCAGTATGGTTTTGTCTCTAATTCTTCTTAGGCATAAAATGAATAAAGTAAGATATCTTCTGCAGTGCAGATGTTCCACAGAACATTTTCAAAATCAAATTCATGACTTGTTATCAGAAGTTGGAGTCCTAGTTTAAGTAAAAATATTATTGGAGTCACATTCTAGCTATTGGGCTCTCCAGCTCTCCATTGCCTATTAAGATATGTTTCCTAAACAAATAGAAAGCAATTTCCAGTTTATTCAAGAAAAAGCTTTAACCAACATATGGGAATTGTGCTTTCTTTACATAAAAAAAAGTGAATCAGAGGCTGCATAGCAGCTTATTATACCACAGTTTAGCAGCTCACTGACTCACTATTCTGGTGTTCAGTTCTGATGGAATACAAAGAATAGCGTCTTATTTTCTGAGCTAAATGGCTAAAAGGCATTTATACTACATGCATTTAAAAATGTTTACATTTCATGCTCTGTATGTCTGAGTCTTTCCGTATGGTGTGATACTGAATGAGCAGTGATCACATGCTTTCCTTGTGGCACAGCTGTTGAGGACAAGAAGAAAAATAACTACACTATTCGCCTAATGCATCACAACTGAATCCTGCAGAAATGTAGTAATGCACTTACTGGTTGGGAGGATCTTACCCTCTGTGGAAATTTTATAGAAATCTTATTTTGCCTTTAAGGCATCTCTTGAGTAGAGAAGTTGAGATTGTGGTACATGGAAGCTTCCAGCTGTGTCCTTCATAAAGCAGTGTAGTCTGGCTGATGGCAAGGGAGTAGTTGGCTGTGGATTTTGGGTGTGAAGATAAATTATTTTCTGGATGCTGTATATTGTTGGCTGTTCGGGAAAACAAGTAGAACAGTGGTGACACTAGCCAGGAGATTGTTTTTTGGCCTCCAAACCAGTTATATGGGAGCAGCAAATCTCCCCTGATGTCACGAGGCAGAAGTGTTGCACTCCTGGGAAGGGCAGGCCTGCTTGCTCTGAGAACACGCAGCACAGCAGTGTAAACTCTGCAAGCCTTGCTTCCTTCCTGCAGACCATTTTGCTCAGAGATCATGAGAGTAGTTAAGTAGGCCTATCTTATTTTTTAATTAGTGATGTCATAGACTTGGGTGTGGTAAGATTTTTCTTCGCCACATGCCATTTTTCTAGTGTATCTTTTCCATCCTTCTTTAACTAAATTGGGCTCTGTGTATGAGAAGATATCCTTGGAGAATGTCTGCACTGAGTAATCTTTGAGAAAACCACCTTTCATTTTAGACACCAGTCACTATAGCTTTGTTAAAAGGCATGCTGGCAGATACTGGATACTCTTACAGAAATGTTTTTTTGGAAGGGTTGGTCTTGCTCTGACCCAAACAGAATGACTTCACTCTTTTAAATTCAATTTTTATTTGCTCATATTTAGGATGCAATTCTCGTGGGCATTTAAGCATGAATGTCATAAAAACATGTAAGAGTATTGAAAGAAAAAGACTGAGAGCTCATACTTTTGTTCCACACCAGATAGAAACTCTCAGCTAAGCCTTCTGTAAAGAGTACAGAAATTTGGGAGCTGACTGTTGCAACTTCTGTCAATAACATGACTTAGTGAATTAGTGAAGAAAGTCTCTTCCTCTTGGAGAAATCTGAATTCAGATCATGTTGCAGATTTGTGCCCCAGTTTCTCCAAGTGCTTAGTATTCATGTGGAATTCAGCTGTGCAAAACATAATCTTCATTAGCAGATGCTAAATACACGAGAGTATGACATTATGTTAGTGCAAGCACACAAATGCAAATGATGGTGTCCTTGTTTAATTTATAGGCTTATGAATTTATTGCTCTATTTTTTTTTTTTTCTTCATTGCTGTGCGAGTGTATCTACAGCAGTGTTAACATGACCTTATTCTTCATTCACAGGTTACTTTAGGTGGAACCTTTATTGGAATTGGGCGGAAAACTCCAGATTGCCAAGGCAACACCAAGTACTTCCGCTGCAAATTCTGCAATTTCACCTACATGGGCAACTCGTCCACTGAACTAGAGCAACACTTCCTACAGACTCACCCAAACAAAATGAAAGCAGCCCTTCCCTCCTCTGATTCTGGTAAAACTTCAGAGAAAAACTCCAATAAATCCAGTCCTACTCTTCGACCATGTGATTCTGGAGACTTGGGGAAGTGGCAAGACAGAATCACTGTAAAAGCAGGAGATGATACACCAGTTGGATATTCGGTGCCCATCAAGCCAATAGATTCTGCTAGACAAAATGGTACCGATACAACCAGTTACTACTGGTGTAAATTTTGCAGTTTCAGCTGTGAGTCGTCCAGCTCATTGAAACTATTAGAACATTACAGCAAACAGCATGGGGGAAACCAGTCAGGAAGCCATCACCCAGATATGAATGATAAGCTTTCTAGGGGATCTGTCATTAACCAGAATGATCTAGCCAAAAATGCAGATGGGGAGTTAGTGACAAAGACAGAAAAGGGTGCGAGTGTGGCAAAAAAGAAAGACTTGACTAGCAAAGGAGCAGAGGACAGCATGGTGACAAGCTACAACTGTCAGTTCTGTGACTTTAGGTACTCAAAGAGCCATGGCCCAGATGTAATAGTGGTGGGCCCACTTCTTCGTCACTATCAGCAGCTACACAACATTCATAAGTGTACCATTAAGCACTGTCAGTTCTGTCCCCGAGGCCTCTGCAGCCCAGAAAAGCACCTTGGAGAAATTACTTATCCATTTGCTTGCAGAAAAAGTAATTGTTCCCACTGTGCTCTCTTGCTTTTGCACCTGTCTCCAGGGGTGACAGGAAGCTCTAGAGTCAAACACCAGTGCCATCAGTGCTCATTCTCCACTCCTGACGTAGATGTTCTCCTGCTTCACTATGAGAATGCACATGAAGCCCAAGTGTCTGATGTCAAACCTGAAACAAATACCCTGCAAGGCGCAGATGGGCCGCTGACTCTCAAGGAGAACAAAGAACACTCATGTACCAAATGTGACTTTACCACCCAGGTGGAAGAAGAGATTTCCCGACACTACAGGTACAGTGAAGTTTAAAGTGATTACTACTAGGAACCAAGCACACAGCCCTCCTAGTTCCTTAATTAAATGTCGCTGATCCCTGAAACTGAGGAAGCTGGAAATGAAAATAGGAATGTGCCTAGATATAAATCTTTATAGCCAGGGTCCAATCCAACATCCACTTCGTTTTGGAAAAACTTCAGCTCAGTCTGTGGCTTTAATTATACATTCAAACCTGCGCAGTGAAGAGGGAGATTTGGATTTGTGTATAGATGTTGAAGTTCTAGCATATTTGAGGTTTGGTCAACTATTTTCCACCCAGAGTCTGTTAGGTACTATTTTATTTTAGGCTTTTAACCAGAAAGCTGGCATCTTCATTCATTAGGGGAACACAAATGGCTTTACTTTCCAAGATAGACTGTGAATCCTTTCATGCTTCGTAACAGTGCTTCAATGTACTACCTTTTTGTAGTATTTTCCATTCCCAAGTCCAGCAATGCAATAATGAGTTTAAGAGCATTCCACTGCTGTTTTGGTGTTAGTTTCACACTGGGAGCAGACGCTCTTTTGTCTGTTGATGTCATCCTCCAAGATCCTTTTGCAGATGCTTATTTTTGTATTGCTGCTTTACAGTGTCATTCTATCTATTTTAAATGCTAATGTTCCTATTTGGAGGTGGATGCAGCCAGTCTCCTGACTCAGTCTGACACAATGTCATGATGGCAGCCAACTCCCTACTAAACTTCTTGGGCCAGTTCCTGTGCTGTTGTAAACTGGCAGTCCAGTTTATATTGCAGGAGGAGCTGGCTCCCAGACTTTTTAAAAAGCAACAGTGCTGCTGCAAAAGCAGTGTTAAATATTAGAAAATCCTGCTGAATATGTTAATAGTTAAGGCTAATGCGTCAACAACAACGGAAAGCGCAATATCTGTCTCATCTAAAAGATCTTTGCATGGAAGCCAGCTAGAATGAAGACAAAAGAAGATGCATTTTCAAAGCTAAAGCTTTGTTAAAAGCTCAAGAAACCGTGCCATGTTTAATAGATTCCAAGACATCCAAAATTAACAAAGGCAGACTGGGGCATGATACTTTAATAGAGATTAAAGCTGGGGGCATCCAAATGTTGCCCAACAGAGGGCTGCATTGGCAATGTATCAGGAGTCTATTTAAAAAAAAAAAAAAAAAAAGAGCAGATTGCTCATCTTTAATTTGGTGCTAGGGCCCACGGAGGATTCAGGTCCCAGCATGCAGTGCCCCATTTTTGATCCAAGTGGGCCTCAGGGATGTTGTGCGGATTAATTAGTTAATGTTTGTAAACTGCTTTGAAGATGAAAAGTGGTATCTAAGTTCCAAACATTATTATAGCAGCTTTGAGCTGTGCTGTAGAACTCCATAGGCAGCACTTTGTCCGCCGCTGGGGCATGGCACGATCTTTTTTTAGTGGTTAAATAACTGGAAGATTGAAATGGCTCTTTGACTGAAAAACATTTTTATTTTGCTGCAGCTGCTAATTTAAGTTTTAATGAGAACACCTAGTTAAAATCATTTTTCCCAAGGAAAGGAGAAGCCATGACTTTGAAAACTGTAAGTCTGATACCCTTTCCATCCTGAGTGCTCAGCACTGTACAAACAGCTCCTGCAGTTGTCAGTGGGAAGTGCTACGTGATGTGCTCTTTTGAAGATCGAGAAATGCGTTTAAGCATTTGAATTTCAACTTATTGGTCTAAAATTAGTCTATTCTGTTTAAAAACCACTTGAACAATGTAGTTCTAAGCCTTCAATATACCACATTATTGAGTAGTCTGACGATGTTGCTTAGTCAAAGCAAAGCATAAAATCCCCACAACTGCCAGCTTCCTTCCCTTTCTCCTAACCTGCCCTCCCATCTCCTTTTTAATTTAAGTTTGGTTTCTTTTCGACGTGTACTGCTGCTCTTCTTTTCCCTCTGTTCATCACCAAAGTTAGTTCACTTTTTGGTAGATACTTTGTAATGGCAAATACCTAGTAGATTTTACTGCTTTTCTATGCCTCATTTTTCATAGTTTTTACTATACCGAACTGAAGCATAGAGAAACCTGTAAGGCATTGTAGCTTCTATTTTTAATATTATTTTTTCCTTTTTTGACATATACTTGATGCACACTTCCTTTGCCTTTTTGTATTTTATGAAATTTTAATGAAAATTTTTATGTATAAAATTTTATGTATTTTATGAAATAAGGATTACTTCAGATGAATTCAGATTTTAAGCTGAAGAATTCATATAATGTGTAAACTTATGTAATGGGGAATTATGTGACATACACAGAACTGGTTTTCTCTGAGGCTTTGTCAGAGCTTATCCCAGTAACATGTTAGGCTGCACTGTTGTGTATTTTTTTGGTCTGCATTCTTTTTTTCTGAAACATACACACACATAAGATACATAATTGCTTTGCTTTTTTAATTGGGTTTCCTTTCGGCCATACTTACACAATTTCACTCTGTTTGTTTAATATTTTTCTGTGTCCTAAAATTATTTCTTTGCATGTATTTACAACAGTTACAATTTGCAACAGTTAGAATTTGCAAAAGTGGTTCTTTCCATTTTTTTTCTGCCAGAATGTATGCTAACATTTAGAGCTCATTCAGTATTTTCTTGACATGATTATTTGAGAGCTGTTCAGTTAAATTTGAAGTTAATGAATCACATTGCACTTGAGTTTACTTGTATTTAAACCTCACTAAAATGTGCTTACTCAAACAAATCCCCAGAAGGTTTGTTGGCCTACATTTTCTACTGATTCTGCTACCACTCGTTTGCATTATTTCTCTGAGGTATCAGGTATTCTGTGTGTTCATTGTGAAGTTCAGGCTTTGTTTTTTTTTTCAAAACTGTCTGCTGTTCTGATGAGCTGAAAGATGCCAGAACATGTAATTTAGATAAAAATCATGTAGACTGTTTGGGGAAATATTGGATCTCAGATAACTCAGCTTAGAGATTATTTTCCTGTTTGCTCCAAAATAATTGTTTTCTAATTTTGAATTTTTTCTTAAAACGAAAAAGACTTCTTGCAGAAGATTTATTTATTTATTTATTTATTAAAGTTTGGGAATTTTGATTTAAATGTGGGAAAACAGTACAGTTTCTCATTTTGGCAAAAAATATTTTTTTTCCATGAAAATCGTGAGTGCAAAAAAAGTCTAACAGAAAACATTTGATCAGTGCTAATGGTAATTACAAATGCTGTGTGAAAAGTGCTCTAAACTTCTTTAAAAAGAGAATCTGGTGACTGTTATCCAGTAAACAACAGCAAAGGATTGAAAGAAACTGACTTGCAAATGAGATAAGGGTTTGGGAGTAGACTCATTTTTCTAAAAACCAGATTTTTTTTTTTTGCAAATGGAAATGATTGGAATTCTGTAGAGTGTTATGTGAGACAATATGTCCCTCTCAGAGGTGAATGGAGACCTAGGGGTATGGGTTAGGCCACAGTGAAGAATGCATGCCCCAGTGCCAGTGATGTGTGCTGAGGACACGGAAATATGGCTGCTGTCACCTTGGCACCAGCAGGCAGCAGAAGCTGGAGAAGGGCCTGGGATGTGCAGACTGTAGAAAAGTGGAGCTGTTAGGCTCCATGAGAAGGTACCAAGGGCAAATGTGTGAAATGAGGCCCAGCAGCTCCTGCTTTCTGGCAGAGCAGGAACCTTCACTCGTCAAACTACAGCAGCAGCTGTGAGGACCTTTTCCATCCTCCTAACACCTTAATTCACTGCTCTGAACTTGATTGGTCTTGCCAATAGCTTTTGCTCTCCTTTTATCTCAGCCTTGCTTTCCACTCTTCCCGTTCTCCTCCCTTTCTGTCTCCTCCACTGAGTTTCCTTTCTTGCTCTGTGCTCTTCTCCCGTGTGTTTTCCTGTCCCCACAAGTATGAGTGCAGCGCACATCTCCAAAGCAGACTTTTTTACAAGCCCATTTCTTCACAAGAACTGCTCACAATTATTATATTCATAATGAAATTCAAAATGTGCAAAGAATTTGAAGTGATACAACAGTCAAACCTTCATCCAGAATATTTTGTATGCCCTGGAGCATAGGAATGTCTTTGTATCTTCAGGTAATTAAAAAAAAAAAAAAAAAAATTGTTTTAGAGGATGGTGTTTTGCAATATTTCAGACTAGTTGTAAGTATGTCAACGAGACTTAATTCACAACTGGCTAGTGTCAAGAATATCATACATAGCCTGTTAGAAATCTCATATGAATAACAAACGTATCAAAAAAGACATGCAATCTCTTGTCTTCAGTCTTTTGCAAGGGAGAATCCTTTCATCTTGTAACCTCAATTCAGATATCAGAGAATCATAGAATATCCTGAGTTGCAAGAGACTTGTAAGGATCATTGAATCCAACTCGTGTCTCCACACATGACCACCAAAATATCAGACATATGACTGAGAGCATTAGTCCAGACACTTCTATTTTTCAGTACAAGTAAATAATGACAGAATTTTGTGAAGTTATCAGAATGTAACAGAGTAGCAAAGATTTGGCTGGAATTCCTTGACATTTAATCTTGGTATTGGGACGTAAACGCTTTAATGTCCATGAATAATCAAGAATTTGATTTATTTGGTAGTGAAAATAATAATGCTAAGTGGCATCAATGCAGGCTATGTCATTGACATCCCAGTGCCACATTCAAGGTGGTAACCAGCTCATGGCTTGAAACTGCTCTTAGCTTGCTTGAGTGGTTTATGAGCAAGACCATAAAGAGAATGCAATTTCCATCTTCATTTACATAATTTTCTTCCATAGTGAGATTTTCCTCAAATGCCTTTCCTCTGGCTGTTGATTGGCAGTATACCAGTATACTATATTGTACTTGATGATTTCAGAGTTTCAGATGATAACAGCAAAGTTTAGTTGTAAACTTAAACTTAATATCAGAAAAGTGCTTATTGTGTACTTGGCAAATTTGAACTTTTACAATTTTTTGCTTAGATTTGGGGGATTTTGTGCACAACTCCAGTTGTAACGTGAGCCTTTAGAAACATTGACTTGATTTCAATTCTGGTATAAGAAGAAATAAAAGATTGCCAGCTTGTTTCCATGATTGTTGCTGATTGAGTGAGGTGAAAAAAATCAGAGATGAAAATGTTTTTCTTTTCATGCATTTTTCTGGAAAAGGATGAGAGTTACTGGTTTTAACAATGTTCTGCTTACTATTTTATTTTAGATTCTGACTTAGATTGGACATTTCCAAACTTTAACTTGCTTTATGGAGATTTTGGATAAAACAGTATACAGGATGTGCAAAATACGAAGATCTATAATGGCAGTAGTAATACATACTACAGACGTATATGTCCTGCAATAAAAAGCTTGTTGGTTTACTACCTGTCTAAATCAGTTCAGGTGTTCTCCAATTTCTGTCATAGTTTCACAGAAAAACTACAAAATGTTTCATGATTCTCTTTGAATAGATTATAATGCCTTTAAATTAACAAACCTAATTTAAGAAAAGTGATTACAGCAGGGTCTGAGCCATCCAATTCCAACTGTACCTAATACTCTGCATTTAGTTGTGGCCTTGTAAGAATGACTCTGCTCTTGGTGTTTACTGCTCCTGATCAAAACCATTTAGCAATTGTGGGGGGAGAATGAAAAAAATGGCAAGTTAGGCAGAAAAAAATCAGCTGTTTGGAGTTGTGATGTTGGTAGATGAGAGCTAAGCTAGGAAAGATGCTAGGCATTGAGATAGCCAAGTTAAACAAGAGACACTTAGGGCTAATAAACTGATAAACTTTCACATGGAGAACATATGGGGTTGAGCCATTAGCCCCAAATGGTGTCTTGTTTAACTTGGCTTTTCAGATAACTAGCCCCTGTCTAACTTGGACTTCTCTGAAGGTATCCCACCTTTACAGGGCCGACCCTCCTTAAAACTTGGCTTTTTGTATTAGTAAAATGGTTTTGATCAGATAGCACTCGTCTTTTTTTTTTTTTTGGTTGAGAAGAGAATTAGGCTTGGTTTAGAGAAGAATTAAGTTGCAAGAGAGAATATATTAGTGTCGCACTGAGAGACGAGCCAATTTTAATAAAACACTAGAATGAAAAAAGAGGAACACAGCCAGAACAGGATTTTAACCTACAGCTTTCTTTCCCACAAGTAAATTTTGTTGCCATAAGGGTGTATGGAGAATAGCTGACTATTTTTCACATAACTGAATGAGCCCATCTAGTCCCTTAAAATGAATATAAATATGGAAAATGACAAAAAGAAAACTGATATTGGACAAGTGCTAAAAAAGCTTTAATTTGAATGTGTGCTCATGTCTGCATGCTGACACAACTGAAAGAAAATCAGACACTGTAAATAACATATGGTTTGTTTTTTTTTGACAAGAGGAAAGAAGGAAGACAAGGGCTTCTCTGTAAGTTTGGCAAGTTGTCTCTTCTAAACTATCATATTTAAAGAGGAATATTTTGTATATCATTCTAGTTCCACAGATACACTGAGAGCTAAATCCTGCTTTTACTGAAGTTAATGAGAGTTTTGCCATTGACTTCACTGAAACCAGAATTTGGCCTCAGAAGAGTGAATTCTAGCAATTTGAGTTATCAGGGCAGTAACACATTTCTTACACAAGTTTTGTTCTGTGTGGGCAGTAAAAGGCTCGGTTTTTAGCTTGGCTAAAGACACTATTGTGGCTTTTGAGTGCACGGGGTGTGGATGTGTGAATGAATCTGCAGGGAGAATCCTTTCACAGATCGTTTACATTTTGAGGAAGGGCTGGGATGGTATTGGACCCATAATAGGTACGAGCCTGGTGCAGTGGGGCCTGATGCAGACAAAGAGCTTGGGCCACTTCTGTGCCATAAACAATTATACGGAATGTTACATATCTCATAAAAAGTGCACTGTTCATCTGATAGATAGGGTAAAATAGTAACATGCTGTTCTAATGTAGCAACATATGCTTTACATAATTTAGTAATACTGTACTTTATATAGGCTTCTAGAATGAAAACAGGAAGGCATGTTATTCCACACTGCTCCATAGGTTTTACCCAAGCATTTCTGTATTTGACAGGAAAATACAGTTTGTACTGAGACAGCCAACTATTCTGCTTTTACTTTAGAGCTGCATCTTTTAAAGTTGTCTCAAAATATCCGCAGAGGACAAATAAATGTTATCTGTTGGGTGCATCCTTCCAGCCTTTGGTGCATTCCTATCTTAAGTTAACTGGAGTTCCACTCAAAATGGTCCTTGTTAACCGAAAGTACCTGAAACAGTTGGAAAGAAAAGGAATTCTCTATGCATTTGAAGTTTCTAGCATATATTGATATTAATCCTGAGTATTTTTTTTTTTTTTAATTCCAAAGAAAACTATCATGTTCTAACTAATTGATTTGGGTTGGGGAAAAAAAAATTACTCATTATTTCTACCACAGTGGAAAGTGCTGAGTGCATTCTGGCAAACAATCAACAGGAAGCTGTTGCAGTGTGTGAGAGGTAACAGTAAAATTTTTCCCTACTGTATCAGACTCCAAATCAAACCCCTTTACTTTATTAGAGAGACTCATTCTGTTTATTGATTTTCTTCATCTTGTTAGGTAAAACCAGCGAGAGAAGGAAGGGTGAGAGGGGACACACTTTAATGCCCATCTCATTTTCTTCCAGGAGAGTACACAACTGCTACAAGTGCCGTCAGTGCAGCTTCACGGCTGTGGACACACAGTCACTACTCGAGCACTTCAACACCGTGCACTGTCAGGAGACAGACGTCACTACAGCCAATGGGGAGGACAGTCACGGTGTTTCGGCTATCAAGGAAGAGCCAAAAATTGATCTCAAGGTCTACAGTCTGATTAATCCAGACCCCAAAATGGGGGAGCCCATGTCTGACAGCATAGTCAAGAGGGAAAAGATAGAAGATAAGGAAGTGCTTAAGGAGAAAGGTTGGACTGACAGTCCCGGTGATGATCTTCGCAACGTGCCCTGGAGAGGAACAGACATTTTGAGAGGGAGCCCATCATACACACAGACCAGTTTGGGCTTATTGACCCCAGTGTCCGTTGGCCAAGAGCAGCCAAAGCCTTTAAGGGATAGTCCAAATGTAGAAGCTGCCCATCTGGCACGGCCCATGTATGGCTTGGCTGTGGAGAGCAAGGGCTTCCTGCAGGGGGTGCCGGCCGGAGCAGCGGAGAAAGCCGGGCAGCTCACCCAGCCCTACCCTGGATCCGGGGATGGCAAGGCCAAGGATGAATCCCAGTCCCTACTGCGGGTAGGAAGCTCTCTTTGTTTCTTTCTTTTTTTTTTTTTTTTTTTTCCTGATTGCAAGTGTGCTGTGTTTAATTAGGCATGCAGAAGATTTCTTCAGTTTCAGAGTGAATGCATGGGAAAATAAAAGTAAATATCCAGGGAGAACTGAAAGATTCAAGCTTGCAGACCTAAGCTGACAGGTGAACATTCTGACTTATTGGCAGCAAACAACATATATATTGGTGTAGTGTTAGTAAGTAAGTGCTTCTACTTTTGCTATTTAGCTCTGATTGAGTTCTGTTTAATCATTCCTGCTAATTGTGCAGGTTGATGATGCATTTGAAGAGCGAGGGTTTAGAACCCTAGAAGGCTACATGTAATCTGTTACACAAAACAGCTAATCACCTCTTAGATTTTGAGGTGATGTGACAGTACACACTTAAGCAAGATTTTACATTATTAAATATCTAAGAATATGAAAACTACTTAAATATTAATAAAAAGTAACCTCTGTTTTTTGGTAAAACAGCGTAATTACATATCGATTTTGACACTTGTATGGTTGCCTTGGAAGCAAAAAGAGGAAAAAAAAAAAGAGAAAAGGGAAGCTTGGGTGATAACGGGGAGAATATTCATCACACCAAATAATTTGTATTCTGTCATATTAAAAAAAAAAAAAGCTGTAATTGCAGAACTTACCAACTTCCTCTTTTATCAAGGTATATTTTTTCCACTATTGGTAAATTTGAGATTAGAAGAGCTCTGAAACTGAGGAGCTGGAAGACAAATAAGGGCCTTTCTCCTGGAGTCACCACTGTGTGTTTTCTAAGGGTGCTTCCTGTCTGAAGTTTTAGGAACTGGCAGACAAACTTCACTGGAATGGAAGGGGTGGTCAGCTCTTCTTCTGTATTATCTTTTCTGAGAACATTTATAACCATAACATATATTCATGTAAAGAGAGCAGCATGTCAGAAGAAGTTAAAAAGCAAGATAAACGTTCTATTCCTTGTGTGCTGAAGTTGTACGTGTCTGTTTCTGTATACACTTGTCATAAAAGCGCTTTGAAAATGAAGTCAGTAATCTTAAAATATTACAGTTACTCTAATTATAAAATGATATGTCTGTCACTTAAAAGTCTGCATGCAGTTTAGGATGACCACAGTCCTTTGTACCTTGCAGAACATGAATAGCTACGGATATCAGATGTTAAGTGTATGAGAAGCAGTCACAGAATGACAAGTTCCCTGTTGCTTGTTGTGTATTCGTTGTGAATGGCAGGTCTATACTTTTCTCCATGTAAAAATATACCTAAAAATATAAATATATCTGGCTAGCAATGGAATTTGTGCTGTACATATCTCACTAGTTACATCCCAGTTCAGTTCTTGCTGTGGTTCTTAGCAGAGCAGAAACATATTGGCCAGAGGAGCCATTTGTATTTTGCATTATCAGAATACCAATAATTTTCATTTATTTTTTGACTACTTAATAGTAAATAATGACTATGATAATAATTGTGGTCTGCAAAAGTAGTATGTGTAAAAAGCTCTATAAAGGTCAAAAAAAGCTTGGTGATAAGCTTAAAATCGTACGCAGTAAATAAGACCATTATATTATAATATTTAAGTAAAAGTAAATTAAAAGGGGGAAACTGCACACTGGCTGCTTCTTATGCCCTTCTTTAAAATAAGTTCAGTTTGTTTAGAAAAACAGTAATTGAGTTGTCTTCAAATCAGTATTTTGATCACTTCTGGAGTTTTAGAAATATGACATTGGAAGTTTAGAAATACGAATTTGCGTAGTTTTCAGGAGAAAAAAAATAGGTTTTTCTTTTTTGTGTGTGTTAACTGGGTATATAAATTAATTCCTTGCATTTTTAAATTTTGTCAACAAAGCAACTTTTATATGGTTAGTAAAAGGATTTATTACTGGGTTAGGTTTACGCTGATGGGTGAAACCATGCCGACACCTTTCAAAGAAGAATTGCTTTTGTATACAATTTTGACATCTTTGGTCTTTGAACTCCGTTGTGCCAAGGCTGTGGTTGTCTGGGTCTTTCCTTACTTTAGAATATTCTCATTTTTGCTTTTCTTTGAAAATGGGGTGAGTTGCCTTTGTCAGTTTCAATTTTTAAGAAGCAAGACAGGAAGTTAATTTTCTACATCAGCTGAACAAAATCCCTAAAACATTATGTTTCACCACTATTAATGAATATTGGAAAATAGAGATAATTCAAACTTGTTGAAGATAAAGGATGATCTGGAGGACAGGAGAGGGAGGAAGGTGAGGGAGTGTGAATCTATGAGTGACATTAATTTTTCCACTGAGATAAGCATCCCCTGTTCCCCTGGATCCATGAAAAATATAGAAACCTAGCTGGGGTTTTTATTCTTGATTCAATTTTCTGTAGACAGAGTTATGAGATGTAGAGTTTGGACTGGGTAGAGCTAGAAACTGTTCAGAAAAAAGCCTTTCCATTTGGAAAAATAATAAAAAAAAATCCCTAATGTTAGTCAACTCTCACATGATTGTGCACTTTTGGGGAAATATGTTTTTCTAGTATGAAATAGTCGGTAGGAATAGTTACTATTAGGCTAAAATCTGTGCCTTTCTATAAATAAGGGGTTAAGTCAATACATACTTGCGGTATCGTATAATGAATTCTCATGCAAAATACTGTATCCCAGGACAACTGGTGACTAGGAAACAAAACCTATAATAAAATCACAGTAGACACCTTCATTTTGTGCTTTTGAAAGATCGACACAGAGAAAGCCAAAAATTTGGGATTACTCAGTGAATAAACACTGTGAGAAATGGACTGAAAAAAATTAGCACATCCCTTTGGTTGTGCTGGCTATTCAGTATTTATAGAGTGGTTCTGTTTATTAAGAATGATTTGTAATGATTCAACAGTAGCAGTAATACCATGTGCTTTTCATTTTTCAATTCTCTCATGATGACTGGGGGAAGGGAAAGAGGAGATAATGTTTTTCACATTTTTTTTATACAGATAGAGGTTAATATTGCAAGGCAGGTTTTTACATACTGAGTTTATGACTACGGTTATTTGCAATTTAATAAAATATCAAAGGCAAAACAGATCAACTGGGGAAAGGGTGTATATCTGCAATTGCCCACACAATTCTTTAATGATAATTTAAACTTTTGGAATTTACTTGAAGCGTCTTTCAGGCTTGTGTGTTCAGTAATCTGTTTATGTGCTGCTTTCTTGCATTCCTTCAATTCACGATGGTTGTGTTCCCTCCCCAGGCTCTGTGCTACAGTAGATTATTCATGGGAGTAATTAGAGTAGGATTTATTTTCTTTTTAGTGGCTAAAAGACTGCATCACTTCTAATGTTTGAGGAGCAGGACATAGTGCAGTGGTGATAGCTTGAGCTCTACATGTGTGCAAGCACGCATGTACAGGGGATGCACCTTTTTTCCCAAGAGAGCTTCCAAGCTGTGTGTGTGTGTAACTGAATCTTTCTCAGGGGCTTGGTACACTTCTGTGAGTAGCTTTAATTTATTTTTCTTATTAAAATGTTTCCAGCAGCTGTACTTACGGCGAATCTGTATGTTTTGCAAAAGGGAATTAAAAAAATGTACCTCAGCGTGGTACAATGCAGACATTATTTCAGCTCTTCCTTAGAGTAGCTGATTTTCTAGTTTAAAGATTTGTTGATACTGGAAAGTCTATTGAGATGCAAAAATGTTCCTTTTTTGGGTAGCACATTGGCAGCCAGCAGACTCTGGGCCAGGCAGATTGTTTAATGCTTTGACAACGCTGATCTTGGACAGCAGGAACTTTTTGCTAAACTGATTTTAAATGAAGTGTCCTGTTTTGTTACATGTGGACGCTGCAGTACAAAGTTTTTCACTAAACTAGGAATTGCAGCCTGCCCCTTCAGATCTATATACAGACCTAGTTAGCCCCCCCAAAGGCACTGGTAAACACTGTTGCCTCACATCACAGTGCAGCCCATGCAGATGCAGAATAGCATGATGGGTGTGCCCTGCGGGGCTGCAAATGCCTGGAAGCACAGGGAGATAGATGCCAGTGTATTAATTAAAATTCATGCAACGAGTGAATTTGTGCGCCATCAGAGGGAGAGAGAGAGAGAGCACGTCAGATTATTGCAGAGGTACTGGTGGTGGTTGTCAGAGGGAGATGGCAGGCTTTAGCAATATATATCCAGCTGAAGTTATGGTAACATTTGCTATGAGCTTTTATTACAAGGGCAAAGGATAAAAACAGCTATGCTATTAAATCAAGATTATTTTGCACCATGATGTGTGGACTCTTCATAGGAAATCACAGTTTTTCAAGGAAGTTTCCATTTACTTGCAGAAGAGTTATTTTTCTTTTTGTCTCTGATATTTACAGTCCTGGTATTTCTCACAGTGTTCAGTCTGGAGCTATTATATGGCTTTAAATTTGGAGAGAGAGACAATCAGAAGAACTTACTCTCCCATTTTGCATTCTTTTATGTGACTGTTAGTGGCTAATTCTAAATGAGCAATACATACGCAAGTATCAGTAAATTTATATGTGATTGGTTCATTTGATATCACTGTAGTAAATACTGGATGCAGTGCCTAGAAGTGAAACATTATTTTTCCTGTTATAAAACACCGACTCCTGCTACCCACAGTTAGATGCCAGATTCCTGCAAAGTGGTAGAAAGGCCGAGCTGTCTTTTGTGATTTCCAAAACATAGGTCCCTCCTAAAGGAATGCCTCCTAAGTATTTCCATGGAAACCACAACAGATACAAAGAGCAGAATAATACTATTTGATAGAACAAATTCTTAGCTACAAAACACTATTTTTCAGCATAGTCAGCATCATCAGTCAATTTGTGTGGATGAGATGGTCGAGATGCTCTTCATTCTGTGGTTTAACAGCTGTGCAAGGCTGTCTGGAACATGATTTGTTTTTCACATTGCTGTTGCCACTGCTGAAGTGCACCAACTACCGCCTCATTGTGCTCACATCCACTGTTTGGTGTCCATAAACA